ATCCTCCGGGGCTTCCACAGGGGCTCAAGACCTATCTCAGAGATACAACAGGGCCTCTCATGGTCTGGTCTTGTCCTGTCACCCCTCCTTCACCTACTCAGACTTTGACTTAATTATAGCAGAGAAGAGATTTTGTTTGGTGATATTTCTCCCACTGCATCAACTTAAGTCAGATCCTTACAGTGTCTTTTTCTTTAATAGGGAGACACCATTAAATTGCCATCACTTTATATTAGATTAGATCTACCATACTGATTTCATGAGTTTTTCTTAGAGATCCTCCTGTCATTTGTGAGAAAGGATGGCTCTTTTGATATATGGGATACAATTATGTCTTTGTTTGTAATCTTAAACTAGATTATTCAATATGGTTGCATCTGCAATTTTATAAAATGGTATAAATTCCTCATATATCAAAACCAAAGATCACAGATGTGTGAATCCCATTGAATAAATTCAGGTAAAAAATTATTTACTTCTATTTGCTCATCTCTGATGCTGAAAATTTTGAGAACTCCTGAGAAAAATAAAAAATGACCATTCTTCTTCTAATGGGTTTAAGGTACTTTACAGGGTGCCATGGATGAGCTGAGTCAAAGGGTGGGGAGCATTTTCTCAGAGGCTTGTGTGGGCAGATGGTGCATTATGCTTTCTTCATTGACATCAACCTGGAGTCATTTCCTTTTTTTTTTAAACAGGCGCAATATCTTTATTTATTATTTTAAATGTGGTGCAGAGGATTGAACCCAGTGCTCCACACTTGCAAGGCAAGCACTCTGCCACTGAGCTTCAGCCCCAGCCCCTGGAGTCTTTTAATCCCCTTCTGTATACTGGGATTGAATATAATCTTACTATTTCCCCCCTCTTTGCAACTGACCACAAATTAAATGAATTTTCTCTGTTTCATAAAAAAAGAAAGACCTAATTTTGATCCTTTTCAACCATGTCTCCTCATGGGATGAGATGACTCAAGAGAGAGTTGGGTCTTGATCAAAAGGACTGATCTGTCAGCAGGGGTCATGGAAGAGGCAAGGCTCATTCAAGTCATTGTATTAACTTGCACTGAACTTTTAAAAAAAGCTGTGTTTACCAATTTCAAATATGTGGGATGTAAAATGTATCTCGAATTAAATGAGTTTCCTTTTTTTTTTTTTTTTTTGAGATTCTGGGGACTAAACCCAGGGCCTCACCTGTGCTAGTTAAGCACTCTACAACTGAGCTTTAACCTCAGCTACATTTACATGTTTTTCAGCTCAGTTTGTAAAGAAAAAAAGAAAGAAAAGTCTACATTTTTTCCATCAAGAAATCTCTGGAGATTCAGGAATAGGGGGAAATGTGTAGGGTTGGTATTTCAAATCTGGAATGGAATTGCTTTTGGCTCTCAATATGTTAGATTTGACTCCCTTGTACCATGGGCTTTTATGATCCAGGAAAATATTTGTGGCAGGGAAGTAATATTTGCTCACTTGTTTTCATATATAGAGTGTTAGAGTCTGTAAACAAGTCAGGATGGCACCTGGTATTTTGCCAGGGGGAGTGGTTAATGTTAAGGTCTGTAAACAAGTCTGGATGGCGCCTGGCAAAATGCCAGAGGGAGTGGTTTGTGAAGTAACGCCAGAGAGCCATTAAGTGTGGAGATTTCTTATTGGTTGACTGCTGTATCTAGTTTATGGTAATTAGATAAGCTGTGTGGAATGTATAAATACCTCTGTTGTCCTACAATAAACGGCTTCCACTCCTGCTGTATCAACGTACACAAGTTGCTCGTCACCCCCCCGGGTTATTTTGCCCAGCCAGCCGGGCTGCGGCAGTAGAGGATAAAATGTGTGGGTCTGGGATTCAGGTTTTTAAGCAGAACATGCTGCCTTACACAACACACCTGGCATTGTAAAATATACTTGTCTAGATAGCAGAGGAGCAGCATCCTGGATAGCATGATGTGTGCTCACTCTAAAAATCCTGTGAGAACCTGTTGCTCTGGCAATTGGGGATGCATATCTTGCCTTCCATTCTGTCAATCTGTGATCTGAGGAGGTTCAAACTTGAGAGGAGTTTGACGGTTGTCAGGTTCTTACCCAGCGTCCTCCAAGATGGGAAGCCTGAACTGCTGATGCAGAGGTATACCACCATTGAGCTTTTGAAGGCCGTTTCTTCTAATGGGCCGGCTAGCTCCTACTCAGTCTATTGCTTTCATTCCCCGACTCTGGTTTCTCTACTGATTTTGAAGTGTGTTTTATGATTTTGTATTATCATTCCCCATTTGGATTTTTCATTCTTCTATCAGCTGGTTGCCTTAAATAGCTTCCTACCTTAGAAAAATGTACATTTTCTAATGTCAATTTCATAGACATTTTTTTTGAGAGAATGAAATGCCAGGACTCACACCCAACTGCTTTATCAGATCAGGAGACTCTAGATGCTATATCTGGCAATAGATGTCCTACAAAAGGAGAATTAAAGGCCAAACTCTTCTGAACATAGACGTCAAAATCCCAAATACTGGGAGGTCCTCTGGGAGGGTAGTGGGGTGGGACTGACAGACTATGGTTATGGTTGGCCCACTCTAAGGTAGATAAGACTCTGTCCCCTGGCCCTGCAGGATCAGGTGGGGGATGGGGAAGCACATGAGCAGGAATCTGCCCTATGAGAGCTGGTGCCACCGGGCAAGTTCTCAGCCAGGCAGTTGTCCAGCTGCTCAGACAGTGGCTTAGATCAACAGTCCCCAGACATGGCACATGCCAACTTCTTACTCTGAACCAGTCCAGGGGGCCCCTTGACCCATTAATAAGCATTATCCGCTCATTTGGGAGTGATTACAAGGAAACAAGTTAATTCTCTAAACAGCCATCAAGAAGTGGCAGTTGGTTTGGAATGTCGCGAGATCTGAGTGAGGCTGGGAGCCCCGGGGTTGTCAACTGCTCATCAGGAAGGTTCACTGATTGGCAGTTAACAGTGAGAAGATGCTGGGGCAGGATGGTCACAAGTGTGGACCTCCCCCTTGTCCTTCAGAGAGGCTTCATTTGGATGAAATGATCATATTTCAGGTGAGGGATGAAATCTAAAGACAGTTATGATTTCAACTTCTTTTAGCTCAGATCTTCCGGGGCTTCAGACTTCACTAGGAAACCTTGGGGTAGGAGGATTTGAGAGTAAGAGGGGCTCTTGGTTCATGGTTTTAAGCCATCAGCTTGAGGATGCAGATGTTCTGGGATCTCTAGGGAAAACATCCGAGGGAAACATTTCCACTCCTGCCCCAAATCTACCACCCATCAGTGTGGTGAATCTGGGAAAATCACCTAAAATCTCCTAGTTCCAATTCCCTAAATGGTAAATTTTGTGTTACAGTCTCTGCTCTGCCTATCCCTTGGGTAAAATATGGGGTCATAGGCAATAAGAGGTGCTCTCCACGAGCTACAAAGATTATTCCCGTGTGAAGGATGAAGAACAGACTTTAATCCTCCATTGCTCTGTAGCCATGTCTGTGTTCCACCCCTATCAAAGATTTCGCTTATCATCCAGACATTTTACTTATTTATTTATTTTTTAGTTGTAGTTGGACACAATACCCTGATTTTATTTATTTTTTTATTATTTTTTTATGTGGGGTGCCAGGGATTCAACCCAGGGCTCTGCCTGTGCTAGGTGAGCGCTCTACTGCTGAGTCACAACCCCAGCCCCTTCTTCCAGACATTTAATGAGTGAGTATTTTATTGCATTTCAGAAGCACCTGTTTTCTTAAAGCTTTGCCTGTACCTAATTATTGTTAGCCTTTTAACATAACATAGGCCAGATGGACATCTCCACATCTCCAAACAGGAAACTAAGGCACAGGCGGGTTTGTTTCGCCTTCTCAGGTGCGCCCATCTTCCACACTGGATTCGAACTCAGCCCATATGGCCCGAGCCCTGTGCCCTTGGCCACTGTTCTCTCTGCCTTTCTGTATATCTCACCTCATTGAAGGCATTTTCTCACACAACAGTCTGTTTAGTCAAACAGAGATTTTTTTTGAAGTCCAGCTCTGACTCAGGTGCTTTGCTGTCCCAGTGGTGAAAAGTCAGATCAAAAGTTTGAACTCTGGGGCTGGGCTTTTTTTTAGGTGTAGATGGACACAACACAATGCCTTTATTTTATTTATTTATTTTTTTTATGTGGTGCTGAGGATTGAACCCGGGTCCCACCCATGCTAGGCAAGAGCTCTACTGCTGAGCCACAATCCCAGCCCCTGGTGTTTTAGCTCAGTGGTAGAGCACTTGCCTAGCACGTGCGAGGCACTGGGTTTGATCCTCAGCACCACATAAAATAAATAAATAAAACAAAGGCATTGTGTTCATCTACAAGTAAAAGAACATGAAAGAAAGTTTGAACTCTTAAGAACATTCAAATTCCTTTATTCTAACTATATAGAAATATACATTGCATTGTTGTTAACTCTAGTCACTGACTGTAGAGAGAGCATAGGATGATACTGTTCTACTCTTAACTTCTATGAGATTGATTTTTTTTTCCATCTGTGAGATGGTACTGTATTTTTCCTTGTGTTCCTGATTTATTTCACTTAACAAAATGTCCTCTAGATCCATCCACACTGTTGCAAATGATGGGACTGTTCTCACCACACACACACACACACACACACACACAAAATAGAAATATCGAGGAGCTGGTTGTGGTATAATTGCATAATATTCATATGTAGGGAAACTTCACGTTGTCCCCCCAAATGCATGAAATTATCACGTTGATTAAAAAAGTTTTAACGTTGGGGACTGGATTTGTGGCTCAGTGGTAGAGCACTCGCCTAGCATGTGTGAGGACCTGGGTTTGATCCTCAGCACCACATAAAAATAAATAAATAAAACAAAAGTATTGTGTACAATTAAAAATATTTAAAAAGATAAATAAGTAAAGGTATTGTGTCCATCTACAACTAAATTTTTTTAAAAAAAGGTTTGAACATTGAATCAATGATTACTAATTACCCTATGGTCTTCTGTCAACAGCTGTCTCTATTTTAATACATTTCCCAGGATCTTGCCTCAATGACCTGGTTACTCCATGATCAAGATATCCTCCTGACCACTGCAAGCCACAGTCCAGAGGAATTCACTTCTGACCACCCTTTGTTCACCCTGCTGAGGAATCAGATGAAGGTATGCTGGAGATTCAGTCTTTGAATTCAATCATCAATAATGATTTTACTTTATTCAGAATTCCACAGCTCAGAGAAAACTAAATGTTCCATGCCATATTCTCTTTTTATTTGATGTGTACAAATTTAAATTCATTAAGTTGATCAGCATTCCTAAAACTCCAGAAGTAAAGATCTTGTTTTATGACTTAGTTTTGTACACTCTTCATAGTAAATAGGTCTCATTCTGCAACAGTGATTCCAAATTCAAAACCAAAGGAATAGAAATTATTTAGAACAATTTTAGATTAAAATAATAATTGAATAGATAGGGCAGAATGTTCCCAAATTTACTTCATAACACCTGTTTCCTTTTAAAAATACAGTTGTTTTGGGTGTGGTACATTTGTTACAAAGGTTGAACCAATATGGATAGGTTACCATTAGCTAGAGTTCAAGTTCATCCAGTGTTGCACAGTTCTATGGGCTTTGACAAAGGCCTATTGTCATTTATCACTATTACAGATAGGTCAACATCATGGGTGGGAGCATCTTGGGCTCGTGCTTTCCTCTTTGAAGTTACTGATTTTTTTTTTTTTTTTGGTACTGGGGATTTAACTAGGGGTGCTTAACCACTGAGCCACATCTCCATCCCTTTTTAAATATTTTATTTAGAGACAGGATCTCACTAAGTTGCTCAGGGCCTCACTAAGTTGCTAAGGCTAGCTCTGAACATGCAATTCTCTTGCCTTGGCCTCTGAACCGCTGGTATTTCAGGCATGTGCCACTGTGCCTGACTAAAGTTACTAATTGTTTTTTTGGTGTCAGGGATTGACCATTGAGCCACATCCTCACCCCTGTTTTGTATTTTATTTAGAGACAGGGTCTCACTGAACTGCTTAGTGACTCATTTTTGCTGAGGCTGGCTTTGAACTCAAGATCCTCCTGCCTCGGCCTCCCGAGCTGCTGGGATGACAGGCATGTGCCATTGCGCATGGCCTGAAGTTACTAATTACTGATTCAGTTTCTTTAATAAATGTAGGCCTATTCAGATTATCTTTCTCCTGGGGTAAAATTTAGTCTTTCTGCCTTTGAAGGAATTGTTCTATTTCCTTCATGCTCTCAGACTCATCAATAGAGGATTGTTCAAAGTATTCCTTTATCATCTTTTAATGTCCATGGAATCAGTAATAATTTCTCTTGAATTATATTATTGGTCCATTGTGTCCTCTTCTTTTCTTTGGGGTTAACTTGGTTTGAAGCTGTCCAATTCGCTGATTATTTGAGAGAACTAGATTTTGGGATTGTTTAATTCTCTGTTGATTTCCCATTTTTTTATGACATTGATTTCTGTCATGATTGCCATTTTCATTTTTTTTCCTGTGGGCTTTCCATTATATCTCTCTTTTCACCCTAGTTGCCTGAGGAGGAAGCTTAGATTTTTGAATTCATTTCTCTTTATTTTCTGTACTGTCACGTTCCACGACTAAACACTCAAGGTCGCTCCAGGTGAACTGGGCTGCACAAAATAATCACACAGAGACAGGGTGCTTAACCACTGAGCCACATCTCCATCCCTTTTAAAATATTTTCTTTGGGTCTTGTGACAGCTCCTCTGACGTTAGGGGTCCATGGAAAGAGAGAGAATGAGGAGCACATGCTGAACCCTTTTACTGGGGAGAAGCCATTCTGATGAGGCAAGGGGTCAGGTTTCAGGGGGTTGAGGCTAGCTTCCTGAAGTCTGCCGGATGTTGACATCTAGGAAGGCCACACCCATCTCATGTGCTGTGTGGGGATCAAGAGCAGAGCAAGAGAAGGGGACATACAAAGGGAGTTTCCATGGAACATTGTATCCCAAACAGGGCAAAGGGGTAGGATTACAAAGAAATAGGTGAGTGGAGCTCAACCCCCGCAGGTGACCCCTACACCTTGGAACCATGCCTTGCTATCGGAGCTGGGACAAAGCCCAAGTCACTAAGAAATGTAGTGATTGGTCAGAGCCTCATGCATCAGAACTTGAAGGTCATCTGCACCCAGGGCAGCTCCCTTCACTATACTGTTGTGTTCAGTGCTCCAAACTTCCTTCTGAGTATTGCTTTCACTGTGTCTCACAAATTTCACAAGGTGAATTTTAATTTCCCTTTGTTCAAAATATGAAATAGGCCTGATGTGGTGGTGCATGGGGAGCCTGAGGCAGGAGGATCTTGAGTTCAAAGCCAGCTTCAACACACTAGTGAGGCCACAAGCAACTCGGTGAGACTCTGTCTCTAAGTAAAATACAAAAAAAGCGCTGGTGATATTGAGTGCCCCTGAGTTCAATTCCTAGGCCCCCACCTGCACAAAAAAAAAAAAAAAAAAAAAAAAAAAGAAAGAAAGAATTTCTCTGGAGGCTTCTTCTTTGACCTGTGTGTTTTGTTGAATGTATTGTTTTAACTCCAGGCATTTGGGAGTTTTTCAGGTCTCTTTTTCTGTTGCTGACTTGTAGTTTAATTCCATATTGACATGAGAGCATATTTTGTATGATTTGTATTCTTTTAAAAAATTCAAGGTATGTTTTAGGACCCACGATGTAATTATCCTGAGGAATGTCTCAAGTGACCTGGAGAAGAAAGTATATTTTCTCACTGTTGAGTGGAGTAGAGAACAAATGCCAATGAGACCTGGTTGATTGGCAGTGCTTGTTAGCTTCCTGGGCTGCCATGGCCAAGGGCCACACTGGTGGGCTTGACATACTAAGTGCATTGTCTCAGGGTTCTGGAGGCTGGAAATCCCTCATGAAGGCGTAGGCAGGCCCGCGCTCCCTCTGACAGCTTAGGGAAGTCTCTTTCCCTACCTGTTCCTAGCTCCTGCAGGTTTGTGGCCATCTGTTCCTTTCCTGGCCTGCAGCCACCCCACTTCACACTCTGCCTCCATCATCCTGGGTGTGTGTCCCTCCTGGATCTTTTCCCTGTTCTTATGAGAACAGCAGTCCCACGGAAAAGGAGTCCCCTCTGTTCCAATAGGATATCACCTTAATTGAGTCTATTTCCAAATAAGGGGAAGTTCTGAGGTTACTGGTGTCAGGGCTTCAACATGTATTAACAGAGCTGTTGTGTTCAACGCTGTCCCTACTTGTTTTCTTCCTGATGATCTGTCAAGTTCTTAAAAATAGGTGTGGAGGCCTGGGGCTGCGGTCAATGGTAGGGCACTTGCCTGGCATGGGTGAGGCACTGGGTTCAATCCTCAGCACCACATAAAAATAAGTACATAAAATAAAGGTAATTGTGTTCATCTACAGCTAAAAGATATTTTTAAAACCTGGGTGTTGAAATCCTCCACTGCAGCAGTGGATCAACCTATTTATCATTGTTGTCCCATCCATTTTTGTGTTTTTCATTCTTGCCTGGCCCACTCCTTTTCCTTCTCTCATGGACTAAGAAATACGTTCCCGCAGCACTGGAATCATCCACCTCCACTTACCCCAGCCCCGTGTTCACACCAAGAAATCTCCCTGAGTAATTCTTCAGCAGCACCAACGCCCTGGCAGATGTACAGTTTTCTGCCAGATCCCCTAGAGGTCCTGATGGAGGTGATTCTGTTTGACAAGGGGGAGCACCAGGTCCCATCTGTTGCTGAGGTAAGGTGGCCCTGGTGTCTAAGACATAGATGTCGATGTTGTGGTTTCTTCATTTTTACTTAAATCCCTACATGGAAATCGATGACCACGCACACTCTAGATGACATGTCCAGTTTCCCTCAGCTGCAAGTCTATTCCCAAAAGATGCCCAATTCAAGATGGTTGCAGTGGGGACAGCCTCAGTGAGTGCTGTTTGGTAGTGAGCCTTCTCCTCAGAAGCACTTCTTCCTGGTTGAACAATAATTTTGTGTGTGCCAACAAAATGGACCAGGCCAACCTCCAGTGAGAAGCCAAGTGTCCTCTAGGCTTTATTTGGGTGGGGGCCATTGCCTCCATCACTGAGTCCCATCCGTTTTCTAATGTCCCCATAGTGAACAGTAGACCTGTGCACATAGGACTCGGCCTGACAGGACCTCCCAGTGTCTTCCTGTCTGTAGGCGCAGGTGGACTCCACAGCAAGTGAAAACTGTATGTGTCCTCCACTCGCTTTCCTGTCGAATGAACGTGTAAGTGCTGAGAAAGGCTGGGCTTTCCTGGCCACTTTTGTCTAGAAAGCCCTCCTGATTCCAGATGCCTGACGGAAACGGGGACTGAGGTGTGGTGAAGGAAACTGATAATCCAGTGAAGAATGCTGACCACTAACCACTCTTCCTATAAGTTATAATGTTTGGATAACAGGAAGGACTGTGTCCTTGAGGCACAGTACATACTTGAGTGTTTACTCTTTTTCTTTCTTTTTTTTTAGAATGACTGCTTCACACTGACAAGTTACCTTTATCTGGAAAGTCAAAGGTCCTCCTTCCTATTTATCTCCTGCTCCTCTTCTTTGCCTTACACTCTTGACCCATGTCCACATGAAGTAATATTCCTGAATGATTCATGAGCAACACCATCCATGTATTACCAGTCACTCTTGTGTTCTCCCAGGTCCGTCAGTGGACTTGGTAGAGTTCGATTCCCCATCATGAGATGGATAAGGAGGACCCATCTTATGCTCTGGTAAGTTTTACTACTTTATGTGAGAAATACAAGTATTATTTATTTGGATTGTCTTCTATTGTATTAAGTCATGACCATCTGAATATGTATATCAGGGTTGGCATATACAATTTCCTTTGTTGGGAATTTCAAGGGACAGTTGGTTGCCAACCAAGACTTCATTGAAGACAAAATTTAAAAATGAGGGGTTGAGGATGTGGCTCAAGCAGTAGCGCGCTTGCCTGGCATGCGCAGGGCGCTGGGTTCGATCCTCAGCACCACATAAAAATAAAAAATAAGGATGTTGTGTCCACCGAAAACTGAAAAATAAATATTAAAAAATTCTCTCTCTCTCAAAAAAAAAAATTAAAAATGACAGCCTTTGGGCTGGGGCTGGGGCTCAGTGGCAGAGCGCTTGCCTTGCATGTGTGAGGCACTGGGTTTGATCCTCAGCACCACATAGAAATAAATAAATAAATAATAAAGGTATTGCATCCATCTACAACTAAAACAATATTAAGAAAAATGACAGCCTTTCTCCACCCTGTATGGTAGCATGCTTTTCCCTCAGCAACAGTTTTCCCTTCTGGCAAAAGAAATTTGTAATTGTCAGCCAACATGGACTTGAAGCATCCACACCCCACGAAGAACTGTGTCTTTCCACAGGAGTAGGCTGGCTCTGTTCTTGCCTTTGAGTTCCCTTGACTTGACTGCTGGCTTTCCTCTGGTTTTTTTAATGTTACCAAGTGAATAAAAAGGTCTATGCACACAGGACAGAGTATGGTCTGATCTTTATAGTGACTCATTTTTCTTTAAGTTCAGGTAGATCCTTGCTCATTTGCTGAGGATGATCTAGATGATTAGAAGGTGGGACAGTTTTGCTGGCTTTAGTACGCAGAGCCCTGGTAATGAAAGCTTCCTGCTGTGAATGAGGATTGGGCATATGGTTGTAGAACTTGATTTTCCAGAGAAAGCACCATGGCCATTCTTTGTAGTCCATAGAAGCAACTGTGTTTCCTTTAGGTGGTGTGGCGTTGGGTCCATGAGGGCAACGTATGTCTATGTGGGCATTCATGTGGCACAATCCAGAGTGGTCTGTAGGTGAGCTTTTGGGTTTTTATTTATTTCTCTAGATACATATTCCCCTAGTCTCACTATGTCAATGTTTTCATCCAAAAATGCCATCACCACAGAGCATGATTATGGATGCATGTAAGTTAAAGTGTAAATTTGTTTATGTGCAGGTCTTTTTTAAAAAAATGTCTATTTTTTAGTTATAGGTGGACATAATATCTTTATTTTTATGTGGTGCTAAGGATTGAACCCAGTGCTTCTTGCATGCTAGGCGAGCGCTTTACCTGTGAGCCACAACCCCAGCCCATGTGTGCAGGTCTTTGCATGCCAATTAAACATCAGTTAACATGGGCGGGGGGAGGTATCCCATCTGAACCCAGGGCTTGACAAGGTCAGAGTTGTGTTTCCTAATTCCTGTTTATGGGCCAGTACTAACTTTGTTTAATAATGAACTTCATCTGTCAGTAGGTGGCTATATTGCTCCTGGGTCGTTCATGATGCTTCATTCTTGACACTTAACCTCATTCTCGCATAGCTTTTCTGTGAAAGGTAGAATTCATCTTCTACAATCCATCTTTAGCAGAGAGTGCTGGGCATGACCCTTCCTTTGCAATGATCCCCAGGTCCGCTTACATGCCACACCCAGTTCTGGAAAGAATCTGAGGCAGACTTCAGACTTGCCAGTTTCTTGGTTTCACCTGCCTCTGGAATCTGCCTGGCAGCAGGTTGTAGCGACACATGATAAACCAGGCAGGGTCACTCCTGGTGAACTGGGCTGGCACGAAATAATGACACACAGACAGAGAAATACCTTTTTCTTTGGGTTGTGTGATGGTCCCTCTGACCCAGCTCCCACAAAGGAGGCAAGGCAGGTAAGAGAGAGAAGGAGCAGGCCTCGAACCTGGGTTTTATTAATGGGGGAAGTTAATCCATGGAACATTCTATCCAAAAATGGGCAAAAGGGTAGGATTGCAACAAATAGGTGGGTATAATTCAACCCCATCGGGTGATACCCACTCCCAGAGCTGCACCTTTCTATCCAAGCAGAGGCAGGTCCACATGCATTGCAATGCGTGTGATGCCAGTCCAGTAACTCCTCGCTCAGTACTAAGGTATTTGGAAGAGGCAGAAGTAGGAGAAAGCAAAATTTCATGAGGAAGACTGAGTTTAGCTACCAAAGCAAAAAAGAAAAAGCTATAAATAGTATGCTCAAAGCCAGTAGACAGACTAGCTCTTATTCCTATGACCTCAAAATAGGAAAGCAACTCCTGTTCAGGGTGGCCCCCAGTAGCAGGTCACTGTTAACTGAAGGTTGTGTGATCCAGAGACATGTTTAAATTGGAGGGAAGGCTGAGGATATAGCTCAGTTGGTAGAGTACCTACCTTGCATGCACAAGGTCCTGGGTTCAATCCCCAGCACCACAAAAAAACAAAACAAAAAACCCCAAACCAACCAAACAAAAAACAAATTGGAGGGAGCTTAAGGGACATAGCCAGCACGGTCACAGCATATCTAGCTACAGAGCAGGGAGAATTCAGCATGGATGGGGACTGATCCCACAGTCTAGGTGGTCCTGGAAGACATCACTTGGAGACTTGTCTCTGATATGTCTCCTCATTGTCAGCCACAAATGCTGTACAGGTCCTTCCACTCTTGGGTAAGCAGATCCTGGTCTTGACTTTTCCCAGTGAGGGCAGGGCCTGTGTCCTCTTCATTCCTGGGCTGCTTTTTAAAGTCCCCGTGAGCATCCCCCCTTTGAGCTGAGATCATGCTCGAGTGTGGAAAGGATTCCTCCTCGGCTTGTCCAGCCTATGGTGCCCCCATTGAGCCAGGTACTCATACAGGCTCTGACCCCAGGATGGGGGCACGAGAACAGACTTACAAAGACAGTGGCTATGTCCCCCACTCTGCCCAGTTTTCGCATCACTCTAGACAAGGTACCCCAGGTCATGTTGGGAGCCATGTAGGCCTGAAGGTTGACTTCATTGATGGAGTGTTTCCAGGACATTTCAGAACTCCTGGCTCCTGTGCATGTGCCCAGGGACTGTTTGTGAATGAGTGAGTATATTAGGCCAGCTAACTCCTTTGCAAGGGAAAAACTAGGTAAGGGAGGCCATATCTTCCTCCTCTTTGGACTCTACAATTAAATACTCAGAACTTATCCCACTAGCCATATTTCAAGTGCTGACATATGTGCATGCGTTGGATTCATAATGGACAGTGAACATTCCCTTTATCTTATGGGTACCTGCTCTGAGTTGGGCACAGGGCCTGTTCACTGGGTTCATAACTACAAAATGTGTTTGCCTTGGCCATTAATTCAGAAAACTGGTGAGGGGTGATGGGAGATGAAGAAAAGACAAACATACACACACAGAGAGAAAAAGCTGGGGCCAGAAAAAGCTGATGGAGTCTGACTGACCCAGAGCCAGGACAGCACATTTATCATATAGGTTTCATCAAAAGGTTATTTGTGGGAAGTTTCTGCAGAGCAGGCAATCTGAAGGACATAGGACTGGTGAGACATTAGGGTTATATTGTTATGTTCAGATTTCTCTATACCTGGGTGTTCGTGCCTAAACTCAAGTTTCCGACTAGATAAAGCTCCACACCTTTGCACATAATGTCCTCTGGCTGGCATCACCTTGACCTATACCATCACACAGGAAGTTCCCAGCGTAAACACAGCCACTCTCCACGTGGGTTCATCACGGTTGCAATTCCAGGTTGATATGTGTGGAGAAGAGAGCAATTTGGGCCCGTGATTCCTTCAACTCCTCTCTTTCCCTTGAAGGCTGGTGACCGGTTGCGGTGCCTTGTTGACTGACTCCACCAAACCCAGGGAGAGTCTGAAAACACAGAACAGATTCTGGTGATCCTGTGTGATTTAGGGTATTTGTTTATTTTCTATTCCTGAACAAAACACCTGCAGGTGGGGGCATTATAAGGTAGAGGTGTGCTTAACTCCCAGGTGTGGACATTTGACAGCATGGTCCTTGCATTTGCCTGGCATGATGAAAAGCCCACTGGGCTGCATCCCAATATTATGGGTGACATGATGGTGGGTGCACGTGTGAGAGGCAGGTATCACGTTGTGAGACCGGAGCCCGGGGTTTCAGAGACCTGGTTTGCGTGTTTTGTGACACATGTCCCTTGAGGGAACTGACCAGGGTGTGAGGAAACTCTGCGAGTCTCTCTGAGGATGGTGCCCTTTGCAACCCTCCACCAGTCCCCACCTCTTACAGGGTTCACACCTCCCAACCAGGCCAAACTGAGGACCAAGCCTTAAACACATGAACTTGGCAGGCAAGACACATCCAACCATGCCACCCACCTTGAACCCAAGGGGTGTGGAAGAAAAGGGGTGAGGCTCTCTCAATTAACATTGCTACTGATGTTTGTGTCTCTAAAGATTGGATCATCAGCAGAAGATAGGATTTGAGCAGTGAGGATGAAATCCGTAGGTAGGTACCTCGGAGGAGTTGAGTCTGCTTGTTTATTTGGAGATAAAAGAGAAGGAAACAAGAAATGTGTGTTGCTTTCCTATTTTGAGGTCATAGGTCTGTCTCCTGGCTTTGAGCATACTATTTATAGCTTTTTCTTTTTTTGCTTTGCTAGTTACACTCAGTCTTTATAAGATTTGCTTTCTCCTACTTCTGCCTTTCCAAATACCTCAGTACTTGACTTTAATTAGTCAGAATCTCTTGGAAACTAGGCTTTGGGTACTGAACCACAATGGAAGGCATCTGATAGGACACCCTTCCTCGGAGGTACTGCGTGAAACCAGACAGAGTTCTTAATTGAGCCAGGTGGTGGTCAGGAGTTGACCTTCTTCTCTGCCCATTTGGCCCTATACCATCACTTTCTCTTCTGTCCTCTTGTCCACTCCTTGGTTTCAAAGGCTGTCCCAGGTTCTGGGGAGTTCAGGAATGTTTCCTCTGGGCTT